TCTGTATAATTTTTCTATTCTGCACTTCATAGCTTTTTCTTTCTCCTGTCCATAATTTTTCTCTTTCTGTCTTAATCATTTTTCGTGTCTCGTAACAATGTTTCTTTTCTCCTCTCAATATTTTTTTTTTAAACAGAAAAACACATGAAAAGGAAAAATTCTTTTCATATGTTTTTTCTTCTCCTCTCCAGTATTCTTTTCTACTCTTAATAATTTTTTCCTTCGTTTCTTTAATAATTCTTTGCTTCCTTAATAATTTTTTGCATCCTTTAACAGCACTCTACTTCTCTTAATAATTTTCCTCTTTTTATCTTGTTCTCTTCATAATTGCTCCCTTGGTATCTCAACAATTTTTCTCTACTTCCTTAGTTAATTGTCCTGTTTGTCTTAAGAATTCGTTTTTTCCTTTAATAATCTTTTTCTTCTTCTGTTAATCATCTTCCTCTTCATCTCTGAACACTCTATTCACCGCAATCCTATTATTAGAATCATCAACGACTGACCTATGCAAATGAAGCTTGTTAATTTTATTTTAAATATTAATTTCACACACACACAGCAGAAGTTGTTGTATTATAATGATCCAAATAATTTGAATGAACAATTTGACGAAATTGCTGTCTCTTTTGAATAATATTTTAGAAAATCGTCAACTGATCTTCGCTACAAGAAAATCGCCGATAATTAAAGTGTTAATAATTCTTCTTTTCCATTTTTCATAATATCTCTTTTCTCATAATTTCTCTCTTATTCCGTTCACAATTTTTCTCCTCTTCCACTGATAATTCCGCTGTTTCCCCCCTCAACAATATTTAGAAGTTGAAAACAGTATCACAGTAATTTCGAATATTTTTTTCGTGCCTCTATCTTCTGTTCCACGCACTCCCTTTTCTCCGGCCGCAAAACGGCCCCCTCGTAATCCGAACCCTTCTCTAAAATACTTGAAACAAACCTATAATTTCGTCCAGTCGAACCAGCTGCGTAAAGTAATGAAGATAACTGCGGCCGCGAACGAGACAGCGCAGTATCGTGGAACGTAGAAGCCGATGCATGCATCGCGGCGTGCTGGGACGTGTACAGGAGCCGTCACAAGGCTTAGGTTCAAAGCGAGAGGCATCGGCCGGGTCTTGCCGGTGCATTTTCGTATTACAAAACTCCGGCAAAAAAGTTCCGCAGCCAGTGAGCAACCTCAGCTTTGACAAAATCGTCGTCGAATTACCGAGGATCCTCGGCGACGGATCGGCCGCCGCCGATAACCCCCGGGCATTTTCCGAACTGTTACACCAGCCGGCTAAAAAACCGCGGCAATTACGACGTCGCCCGTGTAACGCCGTGTCAAAACCCAATGTTCACAGCCGTGAACGTGTCCCCGGAGCCACCACGGCGACTTCTTTTTGCGACGGGGAGGCCGCGTGTGCGCGGGCGCGCTCGCGCGCTCCTCGCGCCACTCCGCTCCGCTTCGGCGTTTTAAAAACCCCGGTGAGAAACATTTGCGCGGCGACCATTATAAAACCGCTTTTATGAGGAACAAAGTAGCTGGTGGCCAGAGAAGGTGCGCTCCCGCCCTTTGACAATAATTTGTCCAGAATAACCGGCTCGTTTCTCTCTACCCCGGTCTTCCGCTCGATGATCCATCCAGCCGTTCGTCATAGGCGCACGGCTTTTAAAAAAGTAAAGCGCTGGACTCGGGCCAGCGCAAAAATAGAAGCAGATGTTGTTAGTTGCGTTCACCAAGTACACGATCCGCGGCTTCGACGATGGATTCCTCTGCCGGCCTCGTCTTCCTCCTCCCGGCCCGCCTCGTCCACGGTCTTCTTCTTTTCGTCGGCCGGAAGGGAAAACGTCTGATCGGAGGAGCGCCGTCGCGACGGGCCGGTGACTTCGTTGCCCTTGAATCGAACCGCGAGCCGAGGAAACCCAGAATCTCCGACTTCCTTCTAAATATTAGGATAGGAATGGGAACCGGCTTTTTGTTCGGCGCCTGCGGAATCGCAACGGTGTCAAGGCTACGCGAAATCTCTGAAAATCGATCATCTGCTTCTATTCGATGAACCCGGTCTCTGTAACTCGCGAATTTTCTACGATCCAGTCGTAGATGAAATTGTAGACTTATTAGACTTATTTTTTGATTAGCATCGTTTTTCGATGACCTGATCGGTGAGCGATCACTTGAGTCAAATGTCTGTTAATGTTACTTAATCCTCTGAATGATGTTATCCCAAACGAGCTGTTTAATACTGAGTTCACACATCGTACAAAATTTTTATGTTTTTTACCATTTTTAAGGTACTTTGCTTTTCAATTCCGCAAACTTAGGCTCTTTCATGGGAACTGTTTGTATAAACTGGATTATTGAGCAACAATGCTTGTGAAACGTGTATCTTAAAAATGATGAGTATACAATTATTTTGAGTGATAATGTAGTATGAAATGTGAGATCCCTTATGATTTATAAAATGAGTACCTAAGTAATTAGTGGCATATTTAAAAAGTTGTATTTATTTGTCGGAAATACGTATTAATACTGACTCTACCCAGCAATAATTATTACCGCTGTGTTTCTTCCTTAAAAATTTTTTTTATCTTTAAACAACTCCCTCTCTTAGTAATTTTCCTCTTATCTTGTTCTCCTTATAATTGCTTCCTTCGTCTTAATCTTAAGAATTTTTCTCTATTTCTGTAGTTAATTGTCCTGTTTGTCTTAAAAATTCGTTTTTTTCCTTAATAATCTTTTTCTTCTTCTATTAATCATTCTTCTCTTCATCTATGAACACTCTATTCATCGTAATACTATTATTAGAAACATCAACGACTGAGCTTGCTTTATAAGAATGACAAGACTGAATCGATTTATACTTTTCCTCATTTTAATCACGACGTATACTTGGATTAAGATATTGATTCAATCAGTCCTTGCGAAAGTGTCTTCGCAATTTAAAACAATTTCAAAACAACATCATAAATGAATAAAAAGTGTCTTACATTAATATTAAATCTGCAACATGAACATCCCAGCAAAAATTCATTAGATCCAATTATCGAGAAAACCTGCAAGAGAAAACCAGGGCTACAATTTCCTGCGTCAAAAGATGAAATAAAAAGATAACCGATGCTTGCGAATATAAATATTTTGGTGCGTTTGCTAAGCGAGTAAACGCAAAAGAGATTCCACTTGTCATCGTTCGGGCGACAAAGGCGGAATCTCCGCTAAGCGGCCCGGCCGGATAAAAATAATTAGCTGGATAAATGCGAGGTGTCTGGGAAGATGAGCGGCGATACCCGATTTTATTCTCGATGCCGCGTGACGCCTTGCCCCCGCCATTTTCGCTTCTTTGCTGATCCCATCGGCCAAATGTTTTTGCTTTGATGTCGGAAGATGAACGGGCCTCCTTCTAATTTCCACTGTCTGCATTCTTAACAGCTGCACGCACGACGCTTCGATACGGCTGGCGGGAGTCCCGCGGTTTAATTAGTATCGCGTTTATGCGTGTCGCCTGCGCCCTTTCAAGTCCCTCGGCCAGGCCAGGGACGATTTCGGATCTTATCGATACCGGCTCGTTCTCTTTTTTTCCCCTCTCGTTCTGTGCTGGAACGATTAAAGGTAATCTCGTGCGATCAACAGAAAAAAAGGTAGATATCGCTTATTTTCTGAGCAGGATCGATGGTTAATTATACGCGGTGAAATTAGAAAATAATCGCACTCGAGCGTTTTTCGTTTTAACGAACTACATCATTTTACGACATCATTGCATCCGACGACACGCTGAAATGCAATTACGTCTTCTCATTAATCCTGCCGCGTTTTCTTCTGCTCTCATTGCTCGGACTTTCGTTTCTACGATTTCGAGCGTGTAACGTTTGTCGAGCTAACCGACTCCTCGAGTTCGGTACGCGTGGAACTAAAATGTTTATTAAATCATCGAATTAGGCAACGTCGGGCCCAATTTTTCCAATTGACCGCCGCGAGTCCCCGCGGCAGATGCTGGCAACGCATCAGCCCGTTACATCAGCTTACGTTACAAAATACTTAAGCGAATTAATTCCTCCGTGTAGGCCACTGCCCAGAATTCTCCTTAACACTTCGACTCGCGAGCCAACACGCACAGGGATTCCGCGGAGCACAAATCGGTTTTTAGAAAGGTCACTCGTACATGAAAGAAGCCTGACACTTTGTTTGAATGAGTTCAAACGTTCGCGCGAAGAAATGTTTTCGGCGTAAGCATCAACGACGAATCGTAAAATATTCGCGACAAAATTACGCTGGTGGAAGAATATGCATTTTAATTCTTTAATACCCTTATTTATGTTTATCAAAGCTCATTCGTTCTTGAAAAAATCAATTTAACGAACTATTAACGACCAGATTCCTTTGGACTTTTCCTTTGGACAAGTTTAACCATTTTCCCTGCGTCGACCAGAAAAAGTGTTCTAAAGATCTTGACGTATAACAATTCCGCAAATTCTACCAAATGTAACGGTATATTTCTTTGCAACATTATTAACATCGAAGCGTGTTTAAAAAATCATCAAACACATCGAGACACCTTCGACGCTCGCAATTTTCTCGAACACTTTCCAAAGCGTCTCACTGTCTTCAAACATGTTTGTTCTATTTTTATTCCGTTAATTATTCTGTTTTCGAACCAGCAAAAACCATAAAATGATTCTATCCAAGAATAATTACCATATCTATCGCGATAGTAGCAGGAAAGATTCCCAAAGCTGAAAGTCTCCGGCGTGCCGTTACGGTGGAAGGCTGTTTGACAGTTACGGCAGAGATCTTTCTGACAGTTACGTTGTAGGACTTTTCGACAGTTACGGAGAGAATACTGTAGTTCGCGGGTGAAAGGGTGGCGGTAAACAGGGATTATTCGAGGTTCCACGTCACCGGACGCGCAGAGACAAATGATATTCCCGCCATTATGGAATTACCGGGCGGCGGAGCACGCAGCGATCTCAACTATTAGATCGGTCCTCAGAGAGTTTTGGTCGATTCGCAGATTACGAGTCCCCGGGATGCAAGACTGACATGGCGGAGGGTTCGGCCGAGGAGGAACAGAGCAGTACCGCTGCGCCCGCTTCCCCGCCAGCTGATCTTCGCACTCTGAACACCCAATTGTCGCCGCCTTATCACCACCAGCCCCATCTCCAACCTCGTCTTCAACATCTGCAGCATCCCAACATGTTGGCGACCGCCGCACCGCCCCGGCACAGCCACAGCATGCTGTCTCATCAGGTGAAAATGGAAGCCGAGTTGGACGCTCCCTGCGACGTGCCATTGAATCTCAAGAGCGAGGTAAGTCCATGAATCTCTATCATCTATTGACCCTGATCGATTTTCGATTCGTTCTAATCGAACCGGGAACAGTCGCATCCTTGACCGAAATGTCGATTCATCGACCGATTAATTATTTCGACGTACCTACTGTCGTTCGGAGGCTGCGGATCTTCCGTGCATTCATCGCTTGCGCCGATTTTTAAATCCATTCGAATTGCTCGATCTAGCGTCTAAATAGCATTTTTGGTCCGAAAGTTATATCCAAAGTCTAATAGCATTTTTATATTCTTTTTACAATGAGGTCTTGGTCAGTTTTTCGATCTACAAAGGAATTTTCTTTTTTGATTCGAATTTTTGTGAAATGACGTATGAAAACGAGAATTTTACTATGTTTTATACACGATAGAAAGATCGTCCTATAGGTCGTTGCTCTCAAAAAGGAATTTACGGAGATCATTTTTATCGTTTCATCTTATTTGTTTGTTTACCATCGAGTCACTTTTACGTCAAAAGATGGATTAAGCCGTGGAAATTAGGGACGGATGAGAATTGAACACTGATCGATGTCGACGAATTTTTTGGAAACTGATTTTTTGGATCGAGTATGGACGTCGAATATTCGTGTTCGATTGTGCTGATGTTTCGGTGAAATTAATTTGTTCGCTTTCGTTTCGAATATCTAGAGATCCGCAGTCTACTGACGCAGCAGTTTGTTAGAAATATTTAGAATCAATTGACAGAGTGATCAGCTGTTCGAGGGTCAACAACTCACTTTTATGTTAAACACGTTGCCTATTTATTAATTATTCACGTCATCGGAAGTATCGAGTCAAGCGACTCTCGTTAAAACCGTGTATCTAAATCACAACAGACAAATAATCATTGTAAAATGTCCTGATTATTCCGCGAAAGTTCAGCTGGCATATTTGAGCAGCTGGATGGGGCGACTGTGTAAGATGCTCTCTATCTCCATCGACGATGATACGCTTCGAAACAGGGCAGGGGCTTAAGATGATAACGAAATTATGCGCGGAGGATCCCCAGCGGACGCGGATCGCCCCAGATGATTAATAAGAAAGCCCATCGCTCACGACGATCGTCATACTCGTTACTAACGGTTTTGTGTGTCAATGACAGCCAATTGTCTGGTTAAGTAGCTGCCGCCGCCGCCGCGTCCCAACCTAAATCGGCCAATGGTCTCTCTGACCTGTATACGATTAACGTACAAAACAAAGCGTGTCGAACGACTTCCATGTTGGATGGATGGGGTCAATGTACAGGCCATTCTTTCTTCGAGGATTGCACAACATGCTCGCTCGAATCTTCCTTTGATTATATTATGCTGACAGAGAAAGTGCGATATATATTCTGCACGAGAAAAAACATATTGTCTGCAGAGATGATAGAATTCTTTGGAGCATTTAGGTCTTGTGCGTTTGTCATTGTCAGGCTGCGGATCTGTACGCGATATAGAAATTTTAGAGATAGAAATTAAATGAAAATAAATTAATCATTGCTTCTAATAATTTTGATAAATTGAAAGTAGCATAATGAAATTAAAATCTTCTTATGTCTTCATATTTTATTTCTACCTATCATTTTTGACATAAGTGCATAAAATCCGCAGTTTAGTCATTATATTTTATATTATGAAATATTATATTCTTAAATTTTAAATAATTATATTTTAAATAGTGTTTTAAAAGTAGTCTGAGCGAAGGAACGAGCGAGATCAAATATCTTGTTCGGTGAAAGATTTCTGACTCACGATTAGTTAGAAATTTTAGAGATAGAAATTAAATGAAAATAAATTAATCATTGCTTCTAATAATTTTGATAAGTTGAAAGTATAGCATAATAAAATTAAATTCTTCATATGAACATCACAATATTCTATTTCAGCCAATCATTTTTGACATAAGTGCATAAAATCCGCAGTTTAGTCATTATATTTTATATTATGAAATATTATATTCTTAAATTTTAAATAATTATATTTTAAATAGTGTTTTAAAAGTAGTCTGAGCGAAGGAACGAGCGAGATCAAATATCTTGTTCGGTGAAAGATTTCTGACTCACGATTAGTTAGAAATTTTAGAGATAGAAATTAAATGAAAATAAATTAATCATTGCTTCTAATAATTTTGATAAATTGAAAGTAGCATAATGAAATTAAATTCTTCTTATGTCTTCGTAATATTTTATTTCAGCCAATCATTTTTGACATAAGTGCATAAAATCCACAGTTTAATCATTATATTCTATATTATGAAATGTTATATTCTTAAATTTTATATAATTATATTTTAAATAATGTTTTAAAAGTAGTCTGAACGAAGGAACGAGCGAGATAAAATATCTTGTTTGGTGAATGATTTCTGACTCACGATTAGTTATTTTCTCTTGTTCCAAATTCTAATTGTTACTGTTTGGCAGGCTTAAATAATTCGCTTTTTGAATTAGGGTTTTCCATACCGTCAGAAACAGTAAGTGTGACAGGCAATTTCTGTCAAGATTATATTTTCGTCTGTTCATGAATTGTGTCAATTAATGAACCTAACTAAAAATGAATTTTCAATTTCTCGAAGTTTGAACAGTTTTGTTGTGCATCAGTGGACCAGCAAACATAATTTATAGAAGCGTGATTTGTGTCTGAATGATCCAAGTTTTTCGATGAACATGGAACTGTCTCCGATCCTTTATTGACCAAATTATTGTATCCTTTACATACTCCATCGATGATTCCTTCGCATTTGGTTCATTAATCGACACAATTTATCCGACGAAATATAATTGTCCCTTGTCACGAATTTATCAACGGAATTAAATCACGTATCCCGCGGTCAGAAATCTCGAGATATCTACGTCGTCTCTTTTCGTTCGGGTACACAGTATATCCCGTATTTTTACACCTGTCGGCGCGGCGGCGGCTGTCGCGAGCACACCTGAGAGCAGCGCCGAACTAATAGACCAAGATAGAAGAGAAACACGGGTTTCTCATTTGGGATTTTCATCAGGTTTCGCAATTCGCCGGTCGCGGTTGCATAATCGAACACGATTTACCGGGAAAATTCAGCGCGCCGTAAATCAACGGGATTGTATACGGTCGCTTTCTACGACTGGAGTATATCAGTTGCTCCGCGAGGTGAAAAAGAGACAAAGGCGTTATCGGCGAACACGTAAGTGGCCGTTGTGCCAATCTAATCACCATACTTGGCGCATACATGTCCGTTCGAGCATTAAACGCGCACGGAACGCTGTTAGGTTATTAACAGAAACTGCCCGAAAAGGCTGCTCCCGTTAGTCGATCCTGACTCGTGGGAAAATCGGGAATACTTTACCGATAGAATGTCAAAGTTTGCTGCGGGTACGCGTCGCCGACCGTGCGACACTTCGCCTAAGGTCGGATCTATACTTGTCCTTCGGTCGAAAGGAACAATCGTGTTTTCTCTATTGTAAATACTATGCACTTATCAATCAAATTCTTTCATCTTCCACTACACTCTCTCAAACAGAATTTAAGGCGCATCACTTAATTCATATTATTTTCGTAACGTTATTATGGTCCCTAGAGATTCATTATATGAATTTAAGGAACAGCTGTTATTTTCATTTTTTTTTTAGTCATTCTAAATCTCTGTATTTTTATTCTTTTCTTATAATTCTATAACTATTTTTGATTTTTTCAAATTTATTTCTTTTACTGCACAATGAGAATCGGAGCTTTGTTTTTATTGTGTCAGCCATTGTCATTTGAACAGTCTTTAGAAGAACATTTATTTATTAACAATTTTGGTACATAAAGTTAGTTATATATCATAGCATTGAGCAATCAAATTTTTTCATCTTCCACTACACTCTTTCAAACAGAATTTAAGGCGCATCACTTAATTCATATTATTTTCGCAACGTTATTATGGTCCCTAGAGATTCATTATATGAATTTAAGGAACAGCTGTTATTTTCATTTTTTTTTTAGTCATTCTAAATCTCTGTATTTTTATTCTTTTCTTATAATTCTATAACTATTTTTGATTTTTTCAAATTTATTTCTTTTACTGCACAATGAGAATCGGAGCTTTGTTTTTATTGTGTCCGCCATTGTCATTTGAACAGTCTTCAGAAGAACATTTATTTATTAACAATTTTGGTACATAAAGTTAGTTATATATCATAGCATTGAGCAATCAAATTTTTTCATCTTCCACTACACTCTTTCAAACAGAATTTAAGGCGCATCACTTAATTCATATTATTTTCGCAACGTTATTATGGTCCCTAGAGATTCATTATATGAATTTAAGGAACAGCTGTTATCTTCATTTTATTTTTACTTTAATTCTGCACTGAGTTATTCTAAATCTCTGTATTTTTATTCTTTTCTTATAATTCTACAACTAATTTTGATTTTTTCAAATTTATTTCTTTTACTGCACAATGAGAATCGGAGCTTTGTTTTTATTGTGTCAGCCATTGTCATTTGAACAGTCTTTAGAAGAACATTTATTTATTAACAATTTTGGTACATAAAGTTAGTTATATATCATAGCATTGAGCAATCAAATTTTTTCATCTTCCACTACACTCTTTCAAACAGAATTTAAGGCGCATCACTTAATTCATATTATTTTCGCAACGTTATTATGGTCCCTAGAGATTCATTATATGAATTTAAGGAACAGCTGTTATCTTCATTTTATTTTTACTTTAATTCTGCACTGAGTTATTCTAAATCTCTGTATTTTTATTCTTTTCTTATAATTCTACAACTAATTTTGATTTTTTCAAATTTATTTCTTTTACTGCACAATGAGAATCGGAGCTTTGTTTTTATTGTGTCAGCCATTGTCATTTGAACAGTCTTTAGAAGAACATTTATTTATTAACAATTTTGGTACATAAAGTTAGTTATATATCATAGCATTGAGCATTATTCGAATTGATTCGAATAAATATTTACTCAAGATCGTTAGTCGAATGAATTCTTTTTAGAGTCGAACCTTCTACTCTAATAACGA